AAATAGAATTATTCCCAGCTCATATTCAAATCAAATCATATTCACGTAGGCCTCCCGCTGTTCAAGTAATGGCATTCAATTTGGTCAAATGGAAGACTTGGCCAACTGCTCCAGGCGATTAGCCAAAATGCTATGCACATTAACCCGTTGCGTGCCGGCGCATATGCCCATTAGATATTCATATGTATGTATGTGTATTTGTGAGTCAATAGGATATGCGATAGATGCTTACCCATGCAGACGCCCAGGCCGCTGCTAATGGGCAGTTTGGTGACACACTGCAGGGGCGGTTCGCATTGGCCGGAAAAGCCGCCGGGTCCGCCGCAGGATTCGCCCAGAGTTTTGGCGCAAATGCGACAACATCTGCGAGCAGAGAGGAGGGGGGGCAGAACAGAGTACACAGATTACGTATGCGAATATCGATGCACATTAAATGTATGATATATGCGAATGTGGATGTATGCATGAAGGGGTTTGGGGCCATTCAACTTACTGGCAGGGATCCCAGAGCATTAGGCCCTTGCCGGGGCAGTCGAGTGCGCGTATAACATCGCATTCCTTTGGATTGCAGTAGCATTTGAGTCCATTTACCACATTGTTGCTGCCAGCTGCTGCCATTATCAGCAGCAGATAGCAGCACAAATAGATGAGATAGATCCGTGCGTTCAAATGGCCAAAATAACTTCCGTTTCGACGCATCCTATGCGGAAGTTTCCCTTTGTTGTTCTGTTTGAGTGCCCTGCCGCAGCCGCCGCTGCTGCTGCTCCTGCTGCTGCTGCTGCCGCTGTCTGTTGTCCTTCGCTTTGCTGTTGTTGTCCTTGTGCGTGCGACTAAATTCCTGCCACCCAATGCCGCAGCTACGCCTCCGACAGCACCACCTGCGTCGCTCCCATCGGACTCTGCTCTTCCGCCCATTTATAGGCAATTTTTTATTGTGTTTCTGGCGCTGGTTTCGCTTCGCTCTGTTCACTCTGTTCGCTCTGTTCGTTTTGTTCGGTTGCTCGCCCAGCAATTTGCATGTTGACTGCAAACCAAAAGCGTTGTTAAATGATTAAAATGCCATAAACTATGCCACGCCCAGTGGCCGGGGCTTTAGTGGGCTTTTATGTAACGGCCGCATGGCATTTGCCGTTTTTCGGCCAGCGACATTCTCCCTAATTTTACCGCATTACAACTAAGCATACTTTGTTCTACCCACTCTTATTGTGTTTTTTCTACTTTCTGTTTTCTGTTTTCTGTTTGCTGTTTTTGGTTCAGCTGTTCATATTGTTATTTTCGGCCTTTTCACTTTTTCATTGCATACTTTCGGGCGGCAGCTGAATTGTGTTTAATTATAGTTGGCCATCTATTACTTGTGTAAATTGAGATTGATTTGATTTATTTGATTTGCATGTGCGCATAATGCATAATTATTGCTGCTTGAAGCTCTTCCCAGAACCTCCCTAGCAGAATATTTAAACTGAAATTGTTCCTGGAACTTTTTGAAGAGAGCAGCGTGCGCTCGTCTTACAAGCGAATTGCTTAAGATAATTTTTCTTTCATTATTCATTTGGTTTTGCATGGCAAAAAGATGTAAACAAAACTGAAGCTCTACTCAAAGCGGCTGACAACAGCCAAGCTCATTTAAATAGACAGAGAGAGAGAGAGAGAGGGGGGAGGGGGGAGAGAAAGAGAGAGCGCGATAGAGTCGCGTTCTATTACAAGTCCAAACTTTGTTTACTTTGTGCTGATTTAGAGTCAGACTATGATAGAATTCTGAGCATATTCTTTGCTATGCAAA